GGGGGGGGGGAGGGGGGGGGGGGGGGGGGGGGGTCGACGACTGCGTTACTGGTGGAATTCCACCAGCGGAAAACCTACAGCTCCTTTAGCTCTAATAGCATATTGGAATTGTGTATGTTTACCACACATGTAATCCTTTATTTATAATGAATAAGAATAGAAAATAAGAAAATACAGAAATAAAAGATAACGGGTAATAATTAGTAGAATCCCTAATTTCCACTGTATAAGTTTCCCTAATTACAAAGAAATAAATCATATCAAATCATATATTTAACATAAACCATATAGTTTTTAGAGTTTTATGTCGATCTTTGGTATTTTATATAAAATTTTTAAATATAGGTTTTTCATAAACTGACCAATGTTTGGAATCATTTTATTTTATTTTATTTTATTTTTATGATTTTCCCATCTTTTAAGGGATATTATATATTATAAAGACATCAATTTTTTTTTCTTTGTCAAATTACAACTTGCAGATATTTGCACTGCTGTTAGGAGGTATGTCTGTTCTCAGATGTCGTGTTACTGTGGAACAACTTACCAAGTATGTACTATACTGCGAGTGGTTGATTTATGCTACGTGGAGGGTGACAAATAGCTTAACATCGTTACTGCAGTCCATTGGAGCATCTGAACAAATTTTCCAACTGATGAATCTTTTGCCCAGTGACCAATTCTTAGCCAAAGGCAAGTAACTGTTGGTCTACTGCTCCCCTTACTCCTCAAGTATGGAGTTTCTATTTTTTAATTGGACTTCTCACTGAATACAGGAGTGAAGTTGCAGAGTTTAGTGGGGCATATTCAGTTCGCAAATGTATCATTTCATTATCCTGCAAGGAGTATGGTATATATGTGTTTTTGTTATATTGAATGTCTTTTGCTCAATTTGTTATAAGAAATGTGATTTGGTTTCTCACTTCAGCTTGAAAATTATATGCAGATGGTTGTTTGCAGTTTCTAGGACATTTGATGTCTCTTTAATTGCAAGCTAGTTCTTCTATGTGCACTTAATTATTTCCTGAAGCAGTGAATAAAAAATAATCACTTCCATTTTACTATTTAAATGCCACATTCGGTGATTTTAGTTACATTGTTCGTGATACTTCCTTTGCCTTCTGTGTGCCATTCATGTAGTTGCCATGAGCTTGAGCACCATGTAATGTAGCTCATACAAAGCCAACAACATAAAGAATTTCTGTCACTATCCAATTCCTCAACAAGGATGTTGGCAAGAGGCAAGAGTTCATTGATGTCACAGAGAACACCACTACCCTTGTCCAAACAGTCGGGTAGAACATCAAGCCTTCAAGGTGTAATGACACTCATGAGTCTTTGGCACACTCATGAGTCTTTGGCAAACCGCATAAAGAAGTTGAGTATCATTGGTGTAATGAACCTTTGCCTGCCCCTAGACATACTCCATGTCTCATGAGAACAAAATATCTGCATCAGAGGGATGAATAGTGGATAGGATGACACTACAAAGCTGGATGTCATTCTTACTCTGCTTAGAACAGTCATTTTCAGCTGCAGATTCCTTGTGCTAAGATGATCAACATAATCTTGGTTCTTAAGCCATAGTTTGATGTTGGTGATGTTAGGCAATGCACACATAGTCATAACAAATACCACACAAATTACACATAATCAATCATAACTCTCAAGTTATAAATACATTAGAATACATATACATTCAATTATGTTGCAGTATTTTTTTTTCTTTTCTTTTTGAGTAAATAAAATCTTTCATAGTTGATAACATCTTTCATGGATAAAAAAAATGTCTCAAATATCATAAGATAGAAGGTTCACATTCGTAACTCATAAACCATAAAAAGTCAACATGTAAGTATCAAAACTCAAGCAATAATAAAAAGAAATCATAAAAAAAATAATAAAGGAAATATAGATTAATTCCAGTAAAGGTGGAAGTGCCTCCTAGTTAGGAATTAATTTATAACTTACAAATCATGTAATAAAAATATAACAAAGATACATACTTTGGCCTTTCATCAAGAACATTCAAAATTACAATTCTCATCATACACTTTCATTGGATTCAATCGCTGCAACTATAGACTTTATCTACGTTATACCTTCGCTAGAAATTACAAAAGAAAAGAAACTAAGGTTTTTAAAACAATAACATCCTAAACTAAGCCTAGATGCCCCGATGTCACATATCCTATCAGAGCATGGCCAACTGAAGCTTTAAGCCTCATCAACAACATCCTCATGATGATGATCACCTGCAACATAATTTAAACATGTATAAGAATAACAAGGGAGTGAGAAGCATCTCACTCTAATTCAAATGTAGAAATAAATGTTAGGCAATGCACACATAGTCATAACAAATACCACACAAATTACACATAATCAATCATAACTCTCAAGTTATAAATACATTAGAATACATATACATTCAATTATCATGCAATAATGTCATTGACTCGACTCATAAATGCATGCATGTGGCGCCATATGAAAGTTCACATTTCTCATCACTAGTATGATGCACAACAACATACCTGGGCACGTTCATTCATGAATACATCACTGGTGACCAAAGGTACACCTAAAATATCTCAGTACATCACTAGTATGCGACCCAAGCAGCACACCTGGAATAAGTCATTTCATCACGTAGCTTGTTACATCACTGGTGACCCTAAGGCACACCTTGTTAGCTTGTTACATCACTGGTGACCCTAAGGCACACCTTGTTAGCTAGTTATATCATTGGTGACCCTAAGGTACACCTTGTTAGCTTGTTACATCACTGGTATGCGGCATAAGCGGCACACCTGGAGTTATATATGCATATGATGCATGTCATACATTCACTATTTCATTGACTCAACATTTCACTTATTACAGAATTTTATTTATTACCTCATGTCATCATTTTTCATATTCTCTGGACATACCTGGGCACGTTCATTCATGAATACATCACTGGTGACCAAAGGTACACCTAAAATATCTCAGTACATCACTAGTATGCGACCCAAGCAGCACACCTGGAATAAGTCATTTCATCACGTAGCTTGTTACATCACTGGTGACTTTGAGGCGACAAATACCATCGGAGTCATCACCAGTAATGATAATGTCATCAACATACACCACTAAATAAATACAAATTCTAGATGAGGAGTGAAGGAAGAAAACAGAGTGGTCAGCTTCACAACGAGTCATACCAAACTCAATCAAGGCGGAGCTGAAGCGTCCAAACCAAGCACGAGGAGATTGCTTCAAGCCATAAAGAGAACGACGAAGACGACAAACAAGGTGAGTCTCACCGGAAGCAATAAAGCCAGGGGGCTGATTCATATAAACCTCTTCTTGCAATTCACCATTTAAAAAGGCATTTTTAATATCCAATTGGTGTAGTGGCCAATGACGAATTGCAGCCATAGCAAGAAACAAGCGAACAGATGTCATCTTGGCGACAGGGGAGAAAGTATCCCCATAATCGAGGCCATAGATTTGAGTATAGCCCTTTGCAACCAATCTCGCTTTAAAGCGGTCAATGCTACCATATGGTGCAACTTTCACTGTGTACACCCAGCGACAACCAATGGTAGACTTGTCAGGTGGTAAAGGTAGCAACTCCCACGTGCCACTAGTCTGCAAAGCATCCATTTCATCTAGCATCGCCTGTCTCCACCGAGAATCAACCATAGCTTCACCTGTAGACTTGGGAATAGACACAGAATCCAAAGAGGAAACAAAAGAAAAGTAGGAAGGAGACAATCGATGACAGGAAAGAGTACAAGCATATAAAGGATGAGGATTGCGGGTAGTTCGAATACCTTTATGAATGGCAATGGGTAACTCAGGCAAAGGATGTTCAAGTGCAGGAGGCATTGCCAGAGAGTCGGTTGGAGCAGAAAATGAAGCTGGGGGAGTTGTAGATGGAACCACCTGTGGATGACGTGTCGTACGCTGATAGACAAGTAATGGTGGTGGATCAGTTACTACAGCCAGAGCCGGAGTTGGAATAGTAGGTTGATCATCCAAAGAAGTATGACTAGTAATATCCTCAGAAAAGAAAGGAGAGGATGACTTAAAGAAGGAAACATCAATATAGCGTTGAAGTTGTGGACAAAAACAACGATACCCTTTTTGGAGTCTAGAATAACCAAGAAATATACACTTGAGAGACTTAGCAGAAAATTTATCTTTACCTGGAGTGAAATCTTGGACAAAACATGTACAACCAAAGACATGAAGTGGAACAGGATAGAGATCTTTTTGTGGATATAAGATGGTGTATGGGATTTGATTGCTGAGAACAGAGGAGGGCATGCGATTAATCAAGTAACAAGCAGTAAGAATCGCATCACCCCAGAATCGAAGTGGAACTTTGTGATGAAGGAGAATAGTACGAGCTGTCTCAACCAAATGACGATTTTTGCGTTCAGCTACACCATTTTGCTGTGGTGTGTGGGCACAAGAGGTCTGATGAAGAATACCTTGGGAGGAAAGAAAAGACTGGAATTTTGAAGATAAATACTCTTTTGCATTATCAGTGCGTAAGATTTTAATAGATTGACCAAATTGAGAAGCAATTTCACTGAAAAAACTTTGAAAAATGTGAAAAACATCAGAACGGTGTTTCATTAAGAAAACCCAAGTACAACGCGAAAAATCATCAATAAAGGTAACAAAATAAGAATAACCTAAAGTTGAACAGACTCGACTAGGTCCCTAAATATCGGAGTGAACCAGGGTAAATGGTGACGCAACACATTTATGGACACTAGATTGATAAGACTGACAGACATGTTTCCCTAATTGACATGACTCACACTGGATGTTTTTAACGGTAGAAAGGCTAGGAACTAAAAGTCGTAATTTCTCCAAACTGGGATGACCAAGACGTTGATGAGCAAGATCGGCAGAGGTGGAAACACACGCAATCAGTGATGAGAGACGATACAATCCCCCAGACTCATGTCCTGCTCCAATCGTCTGTCCAGTATGCCGATCCTGAATAAGAACAGAATTATTAATAAACAACACAGAGAAATCAAGGGTACTGGTGAGTTTGCTAATGAAAATTAAATTAAAAGGACAACCAGGAACAAACAGAACAGAGTGTAAAGGGAGGTGAGGGAGTGGGTGAATTTGACCAATGCCATGAACTTTAATTTGAGAACCATCGGCAAGAGTAACAGGTGGCAAGGAGTCGGAGAAAGACAATTTAGAGAAATAAGATTGATTACCAGTCATATGATCAGATGCACCGGAGTCAAGAATCCAAGGTCCAAGAGAAGGAGACTGAGACATAAAGGCTACAGGATTACCAGAGTGAGCCACGGTAGTGGCAGGCGAGGCAGATTGTTGGGCTGCTCGAAGCTGAAGAAGATCTTGATAGTCAGAGGCAGAAATAGTGACATCTGTAAGAGAGGAAGAGCCGGCAGAGGAGGTAGTATTGGGCACATGAGCAACATTCGCTGATGATGACTGTTCTCGAGCCTTTTTGCGACAGTTGACTTCAAGATGACCAAAGAGGTGGAATAATTGCAACGACGATTCTGTTTTCCACGACCGTCGTTACGTGCACTACCACGATTAGATGAGTGAGAAACAAGAGCAGAGGAGTTTGCAGCAGTTGCAGAAGGAGTAGCCACAATATGAGAGATGGAGAGACGCAACAATTGTTCATTAACAATGTCGTATGTAGGAATAATAGGGGCAGACAAAATCTGATTACGGACAGACTCAAGCTCAGGAGGAAGACCAGCAAGTGCAAGAATCATGAAGAACTGATTTCGTTGTTTCTCAAAGCTTGCCACATCAGAGGGGTAAGGCATTAAATTATTGTAATCAGCAATCAGACGACCAAGCTTACTCAAATATGTCTGTATGTCCCTATTCTCAAGCTTAGTGGTCATCATAGTGGTGATGACGTTGTAAAGACGTTGAACATTATTAACGTAAACTTTCTTGGCCTTGTGCCAAACATCATAACATGTGTCGAATGCTTGATAAGAATGTTGAAGGTTCGGAGCAATAGAAAACCAAAGAACCGTACACAGTGAGGCATCAATTTGTTGCCACTGCTCATGCTTATCGGTAACAATTGCAGAAAAATGAGTGGTTAAGGGGTCGGCACGTCCTTGACCACGAAACCAAAGCTGAACCGCAGTAAACATAGTTCTCTCATCCAAACTGTCAGTAGAGCACGGCAGTGACATGGTGAAAATAGAGGCATCAGCCTTGGGAGGGATAGAGAGAAAAGCTATACAGAGTGCCAAAAATGCTAAGCAGTGAGGCATGAAACCCATATGAAGAAGTTAGCATAGATTGGGTATGAGCACACTAGGACAAGTTGAGTGGCAGTGACAGTGACCATAACTTGTTGCTTACGTGCCACCATGTGCAGAGAATGATGCAAGGATAGAGAAAAATGCAAGACATTTGTAACACAGGTTGGGATATTGTGGCTTAAATTGCTGCCAAACTTTAGGGGCTGACCGGTCTTGGGTTTGTTACCATGATCTAGGGGGTGGTCACCAGAACTTAGGTTTATGCTGACAAATAACGGCAAAATTGTGAGAAAAATGAGAGGAAAAGGTGAATGGGAAGAGAAACACAGCCATAGATGAAGAGGTAGACCAGAAACTAAAGAAACAGTTTCCAGGAAAAAAAAAATCACCAATGGACAGTGAGCACTTGGGTATTCACAGATTAGGATTGTTTCTTGTCAGGCTCTAAATACCATGTTAAGAGAGAGAGAGAGGAAAGAAGAGTGTGTGAGACATGATGAATTCCATGTGTCTGATTTACATAGGACTGGAGGCTTTTTATTTATAACGATCATGAATAATGATTGCCTTAATGTACATAATTACATACAGCATATAATATCCCTAGTTATGAATTTAACATAATCTCTAACAGAGTTTTATCTGACAGTATTATTGAATTCATTCAAATTCTCCTTTCAAATTCAAAATTGGTGTTCTGTCATCATGTATGCAAGGACAAACAATTTCCTGTAATGTTAACGAAGGAATGTTCAGAAGAAAAAGAGGGTATTTGGTGGCTGTAGGGTCATGATCATGGCTGAAGGAGAGTTTTTCACTTTGAGGATAAGTGTAAACTTTTATGAAGCAGTATAATTAGCAGACCCCTAACAGTTAGAAAGAGAGAGGAATAAAATGATAAATAATAGGAAGTGAGAGATATCAATTTTGGTTTCAGGACAGGAACAGAGGTTAGGTGGGAAAAGCCAGGACTCTAAATTTCCTGGTATAGGGAAAATTCTTTGTATTCTATCTTTTCCATCTTTCCTCTTGAACCTTCAGAAATACAGAGAAGAAAGATATTCAATAGAAGTTCATCTCTATTTCTTAACTTTTTTTTTTCTGGTCCAGTTCCTATTATATTTTGTATTTTCTTTTTAATTAAGGAGCTTTGTATTATAGATACTCGGTTCATTTTATTTTGGTTAGTCAGTCACTTTATCATGTGCACTGGACTTGTCACAACAAATATTTTTAACCCAATGACATTGTAATTTGTAATATTCAACATCCTTGTATACCTTTCAATATTGACTTACCTGGCATCTCTTTCACTATTGGGCATGGCCCGGTGTATATATAGCTGATTAATTGTTAAATTTCAATTGTTTCCTACATTTGAACAGATGCCTGTTCTAGAACACTTAAACTTCTCCATAGAAGCAAATCAAGTCATTGCCATTGTAAGATTTTTCTTCATTCCTTGTGATTTAGTATTGGTAATGCTCAAAGGTTAACTGGACATCTCTACCATGCCAAGGTTGGTCTAAGTGGTAGTGGAAAGAGCACATTATTCAACCTTTTACTCCGTCTCTATGAGCCTAGTAGTGGTCAGGTAAACACTTTATATCTTTCAATCCTAGTAATTGGAAATTTCTTTTATTTATGAAAAAGAAAGAGCTGCATGCTCATCATCCACTACTTGGTTCGTTGTTAGTTTGAATCATGTTTTTGTTGCTACCACACCAATAAATGTTTATGCACATTTACGTAGTAACAAAGAGAACAAACTTGAGCAAATAAAAAAATAGAGCAGCATATTCTACAAGCTTCCTGCCTTCTCGAGTAAGTAATATCTAGAAGAAAATCCAGTGAGGTCATGATCTTGTTAAGTGATTGCTCCTGAATTGGAAAACCTTTGTTTTTAATATTCTGCATCATTAAGATAGTGACTACCACGGACTAGGCCAAACATAAGGCTCATGCTAGCTAATCTACCGGAAATGATGGTAATAGACTCTAAAGATGTACATTCTATGCTATGCTTACATGTCTAAAGTTTACAATTATGACAAATAGTTTTTATCAGACTCAGATGGTTGGACTTGAATGTGACATATTTCACTTGTAACTTTTTGTGAATATTTTATTTTGTTGGCATATTTGATCTCTCTACATAGCTTTGAGTTAGAAAAACAAGTCGTTTTTGTTTAAATAATTTTAAAGGAGTAAAATACAAGTTGAAGAGCATAAAAATACTCCTAAAGAGGGAAATAATAACAAGGTTTGGTTGCACTTTCTGTCACCCATATTTCACAATTTCACAAATTTTGTCACCCAATTTTCAAATTGCATATTTTATCATTCAACTTTCAAAATTTCACACGTATTGCCAATATGTCAATTGATCGCTAGCCTGACATATTAATAGCTGACTTGTGACATTGACCATTAACATCCATAAGCCACCTCAGCAATCAACATGTCGTATTAGCAATAAAGAGCCAAGTATGTCAGCTGTCAACTGAAGGGTGTCAGACAGTTAACGAACAGAGTAACAAAATATGTAATGTTTTGAAACTTAGGTGGCAAAATATGCAATTTTGATAGTTAGGTGACAATTTGTGAAATTGTGAAACATAGGTGATAAACTGCAATAAAGGTTAACAACAATGATAATAGTGATGAAATTGCTAGCAAACAGGCAAAGAGATTGTCCCCGAACAAGTATAACTTTACAAGTTTTCCTCTCCCACTTAACAAATCAGTGAAGGGCATAATTTTTAAATTGCTGCAGAACCTTGGCTTCTTGATCTTTGACATACATGACATAAATTTAATGACCTATTTTGACTAATTGGAAGTGTGATGTCACTATCAATAATGTTTATATACATAACATTATTGATGGCATCCTTACTTGCATGAACATAAGATGATGAGCAAAGGAAGAGGACGCCTACATTTTGAGTTTTATGTTGTGTTCCTTGATGTTTGCTTAGTGTGAATATTTGACAATACATCCTTCTAGTTGAGAGTGTATGGGTAGCTCCCTACATGTACTCCTAAACTACCTTAGGTGTGTTGTTTCAGCAGCACACCAGTGATATGTGATACGTGACTGATGCCACATGCATGCATCTATGAGTCGAGTCCATAACATCATTGTGTGTTGAATGATTACGTATGTGGTACTGTTGTATGTGTAGCTTGAATTTGTACTTGATTAATGTGCAGCTATATCTGTGTTTGTTATGATTTATGTGTGTTGCCTAACTGTTATTTCTATACCTTAACTTGAGTGACATGTTTCTCACTCTCATGTTTGCTCTATGTATGTCTTTTATTGTGTTGTAGGTAACCATCAACATGAGGATGTTGGTGACAAAGTTTAGGCTTCAATTGAGCATGGTTTGATAGGACATGTGACATCAAGGTGTAGTTAGGACTAGCCTAGGATGTTGTTTCAATTAAATTGTTTTGAAAACCTTAGTTTCTTTTCTTTTTTAATTTCTACATTGGAGTTATGGTTTATGAGTTGTGAATGTGAATTTTCTTGTGACACCCTTACTACCCCAACACATATATTGTAATAATAAAACTAATAAATAAATTTTCATCTTCGGTAAAAGGGTTCACATAAAAACCATCACAAATTTTCTTCAATATCCAAAATGATTGAAAATAAAACTTAGAAAGAAAATAAAATAAAATAAAATTTCATATAAAAATTAATTTTTTATAAATATTTAAATTTTTAAAAATCTCTAAAATGTTCTATAAAATCTCCTTAATGAAATAAGCTCCATAAATATATAATAATAATTAACTATGTAGAAGATTCGGGATGTTACATAGACAAATTTCAAATGTTTTCTATTTTGGCTTTTGAGTTTTATGTTGTGTTCCTTGATGTTTGCTTAGTGTGAATATTTGACAATACATCCTTCTAGTTGAGAGTGTATGGGTAGCTCCCTACATGTACTCCTAAACTACCTTAGGTGTGTTGTTTCAGCAGCACACCAGTGATATGTGATACGTGACTGATGCCACATGCATGCATCTATGAGTCGAGTCCATAACATCATTGTGTGTTGAATGATTACGTATGTGGTACTGTTGTATGTGTAGCTTGAATTTGTACTTGATTAATGTGCAGCTATATCTGTGTTTGTTATGATTTATGTGTGTTGCCTAACTGTTATTTCTATACCTTAACTTGAGTGACATGTTTCTCACTCTCATGTTTGCTCTATGTATGTCTTTTATTGTGTTGTAGGTAACCATCAACATGAGGATGTTGGTGACAAAGTTTAGGCTTCAATTGAGCATGGTTTGATAGGACATGGTATAGATTATAGTTCTATACTTGTATGATTGATTTGTGAATTCTAGCTTACCCTTCTGTTTCCATGTGGTGGAACTGCGATGATCATACTTGGTATGGGAGCAGGTCAGGGCTAGCTTGGAGTTGAGGTGTCCGCTGCGAGATGGGGAGAGTTTTGATCCTCGTGTTGGAGTTACTATTTTGGGTAACGGTTTTGTCTGTGCTTGACCGGCACTAGGGAATATTATTTTTGGGATGACTGTACATATATGGAGTTTTATTTTATAAAAAAAAATTTTACAGTTAATTTACTTTTATTTGTACATGTGTGTATGAGTTATCCAGCTTAATATTTCTCTTAGTTCACTAGCAGTAGTGCGATTCCACTAAGTGTAGAGACCATGGCGGGTCGTTACAATTGCGAGTTATGACGTGAAGATGATGCATAATTGATAAATTATGATATATATAAATGCTTGTGAATATTTCATTAAGTAATGAGTAAAGATGGGATTATGTTGTGTTTTTCTTATGTGCTTTACATATAGATGTTTTCTTTTCTCACCGTACAATTTGTGGATGTTTTAGGTGAGGAAGATCTGACTATGAGTGACATCTAGAATGCCAACAGTTGAATTATGGGTATGCTCTGATATTGTGACATCAGGGCAGAGGATTTCTAGGACATGGATTTTTTTATATAGATTTGGAGTTGTATCTATTATTTTGAAAATAATTTGTAAACTCTTAAGTTTTACTTTCTAAGTTTTATTTTCAATCATTTTGGATATTGAAGAAAATTTGTGATGGTTTTTATGTGAACCCTTTTACCGAAGATGAAAATTTATTTATTAGTTTTATTATTACAATATATGTGTTGGGGTAGTAAGGGTGTCACAAGAAAATTCACATTCACAACTCATAAACCATAACTCCAATGTAGAAATTAAAAAAGAAAAGAAACTAAGGTTTTCAAAACAATTTAATTGAAACAACATCCTAGGCTAGTCCTAACTACACCTTGATGTCACATGTCCTATCAAACCATGCTCAATTGAAGCCTAAACTTTGTCACCAACATCCTCATGTTGATGGTTACCTACAACACAATAAAAGACATACATAGAGCAAACATGAGAGTGAGAAACATGTCACTCAAGTTAAGGTATAGAAATAACAGTTAGGCAACACACATAAATCATAACAAACACAGATATAGCTGCACATTAATCAACCAAAACCCAAGAGTACAAGAGGCCAAGAAAGAAAAACTATAAAGGCACGATTAAAAGGCTAAACTCAAGTGGAATTTGATGAGACAAACTTAAGAGTAGAAAGAAGACACAACTAAAATTAAGGCACATTAAGAAAGGCAAGCACACAAAAGAATAAGTTCTAGAATGGCACTAGAATAGAATTTTAACAAGTAGGCTTAAAAGAAAATAATGCACTTAAGGTGTTTGATTAAATGTATCATAAAGTCAATAAGCATTGTCCAAAAGTCCAAGAATGACTCCAAGTGTCAAGGTATGAAAATTTGGTCCAAAACTCCACAAGTCTAGCAAAGATTCCCTTTTTCTTTTGTCTTTGATTCTTTTTTGTTTCTTTTTAGGCTTAGATATGCCTCGGTTTTAGGGTCAAGGGTCCAGCCACAATCTCTTTTTTTTTTGAATTTTATACTCTTCTTTTGCTTGGGTTTTACACTTGTGAAAGTTGATTGATGAGAAAATCTTTGGAGTATTCTCTTAGCAACTTATAATCGCTTAATGAGACAAGTTTGAGTGTTTTCTTAAGGGTTTTAATGTGCAATGTCCAGCAACAAGAATATGCACATAAAGTCATTTTCATACTCAAAACATCAAACAACATGTAGGCATGTAAGTGCACTAGGAAATATACAAAGTGGCCGAAAATTTTTGATCAAGTATGTGCAAAGAAATTAATCACACATGATATTTTGGGAATGTAGAACATGTTAGAACTAATTAGCATGCATGATTGACTCTCTAAAGCACATCAAGGACTCACGGCCATTTCATCAAACAAGTGGCATGCATGTCATATTTTTCTCATTTCAATGGTTAAGCATAAAAACTTGGAATTTCTTTCAAGGTAGTTCAAAGGAGACAAGCTTATGACAAAACCGGATGGATAAAAAATAAAAAGCATCAATATATCATGCAGCCCAAAATTTCCAACAACTAAAAAATTTAAAGAAAAAGGCAAGAACCTAAATAAGAAAGCCTAAAATTCCAAGATGATTCACAAGGAAGATATGGTATGAATCAACACATGAAAGGAAATTTATGGATCATCAAAATATGGCAATTATGATGATTCATTTAAGCACACTTAGAAGACAATCAAGGAAGACATAACATGACCAAAAATATTTAGTGACAAAGAGAATGTTACCCATGAAGAACCAAGGCTCTAGATACCACATGATGGCATCCTTACTTGCATGAACATGAGATGATGAGCAAAGGAAGAGGACGCCTACACCAAGGATCAAGTTCTTCAAGGCGGCACAAGATTTTAGGGTGGATGATGATGGAATGGACGAAAATGGAGGTTGGGTAGAAGGTGTTTGAGGAAATGCTTGAGAAGGGTACTCTAGGGTTGGCTCACTTCATGATGATGAAGGCCACTTCTAGGGTTGTTTCTCTCAAGGTGGAGATGGGAGGGAGGTGGCCGAATTAGCCAAGGGTGACTAAGGAAAGATATAAAGGCACAAAAGGCTCTCTTTATATTCAATATCCAAAGTATTTACAAGGTGTGGTACCTAGGGTATTTATAGGAATGGGAGGCATCTAGGGTTGCATTTAGGGTGCCAAATGCACACTAAATGAAACCCAAATTAACCCTAGATGCAACTTGGTGGCCAAGGATGGAATCTTTGGGTTTAGTTAGGCTACATCTAGGTGCATGATAAGACCATGTAACCTTTGCCCTCCACTTGGGCCTAAGCTTTTCTAAGTCCAAAAACATGTCCAAACACCACCAAAAATGCGTCTAGCTCCCTAATTAAATACCTTAGCCCAAAATTAAAAACCTATGATCTAAAGCACCCCATAATACAAGGGTAAAATGGGAAATACAAAAGAAAATAAATCTTATGACTAAGATACCCCAAAATACAAGGGTAAAATAGGAAATTAAAGACAAGGGCAAAAATAGGAATAAAAATAAATGTTATAAAAACTTAGGAGCTAAGGCCCAAAAGTAGGCTTACTCCTCCTATGGTTTTTCAACACTAACTCATTCCTCTTGCCTCTTTCAATATATCACCTCTTGGTTTTCTTGACCTTAGTGTTATTCCATCAATTATTCACAATCATTTCTAATGCATCTGCATCTACATTTATGTACAGATATATATTGATGGGTTCCCTCTTAAAGAGTTGGATATCAGGTGGCTGAGGCAGAACATCGGATATGTTTCACAGGTTAGACTACTAAAACTGTATTTCATATGTAATTAAGAATTCATTTCCTGAAATTTTATGTTTCAAACAGGAACCCCGTCTCTTTCATATGGACATCAAGTCAAACATAAAGTATGGTTGCCCTAGGAACATAAAACAAGAAGATATTGAATGGGCAGCGAAAAAGGCCTATGCCCATGACTTTATATCTTCACTTCCTAATGGATATAAAACCCTAGTTGATGACAATGCACTTAGTGGTGGACAAAAGCAGCGAATTGCCATCGCCAGAGCCATTCTTAGGGACCCTGTTATTATGATACTTGATGAAGCCACCAGTGCTCTAGATTCTGAGAGTGAGCATTATATTAAGGTATCTTTCTCAAATTGCAGTTTCTTAAAGTTATAATTTCCATTTTCAGTAACTCTTTCTGTATTTATCAAGAGAATATAAGCATGCATCTGTTTACATGTTATGTAATTCTTATTTCAGGAGGTATTGTATGCGTTAAAAGATGAATCTAAAACAAGAACCATCATAATCATAGCACATAGGTAAGTTCTTAACCATCTTGTTTATTTAATATTTGTTGCCTTATAATCACCAATTTTTTACAGGCTTTCTACCATTAAAGCTGCTGATAAGATCTTTGTTATGGATGATGGTCGCATCATTGAGGTGATTCCCAGTTGAAATTTGATACTAAACCTTATATTTTAGTCCAAAAATTGTCTTTTAATGCTTAAAACATTATGAAGTCGTGGAAGTGTAATATCGAGTAAGCTCGATTACTGTCCAAAAGTAAATCATGGTCAATGCTTCCGTTCCACACCAGATGTTGGCACTAATAATTCAATTCTCATAGACAGCTTAACGCAAATGCATAATTAATTTATATTCTTTCTTTTTCAGAAGGGAGACCATGAAGAGCTTCTGCTCAGGGATGGGCTCTATGCAAAATTAAATAAAATTCAAGCAGATATTTTGACTTGATTTAAGTTAGATTTAGACTTTTGGCAGTGATGAAGAAGAATGCTTGAAGACTGTAAGCCAAATGTTGAAGAGAACACAACACCTAACTTTCGTGAGAAAATAAGTCTTTGGCTTCTCGGAAGCGATCACTGCACTGTCCTTGGCTGTTTCACCTAAATCCGAAGGTCCTTATCCTACTCTGGTTTATTGGCCTTTCTAATCAGTGAACACTTTCAATGAGAGGTTCTGATTCCATTTAACAATGTTGATCACAACAGTAGGTGATCTAGTAGATTTGGAACATCTACGAAAGAGGATCACTTTTTATATAAGTTTTTTACAATGATCAAATATGATGTATATCTAAAATGGTTATCAATCATACACACTAGGGATGGCCTAGGGAACAGAGGAATGAGTATTGGTATGAAGCCTTTCATACTTCTGCATATTGAATAAAAAAATAAAATAAATTTGGTTATCAGTACACAACTTTTCACCTATCTAAAATTTCACCAAGATCCACAGTATTGGGGCCTTAATCAAAGTGTGATTAAATGTGAGGGTGCAATATTAGGAGAGGGAGAGCATACAGACTTCCAAGTGTACTCATAATTAAACCATTCGTAACTTGCAACACTAACAACTATTCAAGAATATCTAAGGTTGAAAAAAGGTAGGGTACATTAACTATACACACGTACACACACTTATGGGGTGTAAGAATTTTGAGCAAATTACACACTCAAATCTCTAAAAGATGCGAATAATTCCTTATAAAAGATAATATATTATTCTACCCTTTTATGTTAAAATTAAGCTTAGTCTATTTAACTTACAGTATTAATGTAAATTACTCTTCCTTTCTTTGAGTTTGTGTATTACAACGTTATTCCCTCTTATGATCAAATATAAAATAAATTCATATTACTCTTAAAAAAATTTGGAGTATTATAAATTCTCTCTTATCTTATATATAAAAATATATGGTTTATTTTAGTTTAATACTGTTAAAAACATTATTTTAAGGATTAGAATATATTTTTAATTTTTTTACAAAAATATATATTTTTAATTAAAATAAATACAAAAATATATTAATTTTAAAATTTTTAATGATTAAATTTTAATATGTATTGGCTCATTTAAATTTTTTTAATATATATACATATTATCAATAAGTTCACTGTATTTAATAATTATATTATAATTAATGAATATATTATATAATTAATATTATATAAGAAATATCAATTTATTTATATATTTATATAAATCTATGCTATATATAAAGGGAATACCTCTTTTTGGTTTTCACAATTTTTAGATATTTATACTCTTTTATTATATATTCATTTTTTCTTTTATTATTTTCATATCTTTTACCGGTAAAATAGAAGAAAAAAAAATATGTATACAAAAAATTTACTTGTCATTCATTTTATCAATAATAGCATTAATTAAATATCAACTTTTTTCATAGTAGAAAATGCTCATATTATCTTATTAAAGACAAGCTTCAATACAAGTTAGAGCATAATAGAAAATATGGTGTCTAACATACAATTTGGAGGCTTTTGCATGTGAATGAACAACTTCATTTAAGAGTCTCCAAATGAAACTAGGAGAATACTTTTCACCCATTTTAAGCATATCTTAATTATGAGTTACTTTTGTTGGGATATAAATAAGATCCTACATCAATAAAAATAAGAAAAAAAAATGATAATTTTTAAAGTACACATATTTCAATGATTGAAAGGCCTTAGGTGATAACTAAAAACAAAATCGTGAGAACTTAGACTCAAAGTAGATAATATTTCATCATTGGTTTGTGTATGAAATATCCTTTTAAAAATCATAAAATTATAACACTTCTCTTGATAAATATAAATATCTTCTCAGACAAATACAATAAAATAATCTCAATAACTTTTTTGCCAAGATAAATAAAAAAAATGAAAATTACAAAATAAATTATTTACCATGAATGATTTAAAATGTTTGTGGTTTGGGAGGTGGGGGTTAACATTTTATGCATAAAGTGAGCCCTCCCTTCCAAATAAAAATTTTAATAAAACTATTTATCAAAATAAATAATTTCTGAAGAAGCAAAACGGAGGGGGGGGTGCACTCCATGCGCGTTGTGGTTTGTACTAAAAGCGTAAGGGGGTGGTGCGCCTTCTATACTCTAGCTGCCTCACTTCCTATCACGTTGTTGGAAAAGCTAACGGAAAGAGAAAGAGGAGTGGGAGTATGCGCCTTCTTGATTGATTTTTGTGTGTTTTATATTTATTTTTTTTATTTGCTATATTATATTTTGTTCTTGATATTTGAATTTATTTATTTATAATATATATTGTAAATTTATCTTGTAAAGTGGTGTTCATCTAAAATCATAACTTGTATTTGGATTAATATTTTCACTAAAGTTACAAGTTTAAAATTTGAAAATATAATTAATTTGATAATATTTGTGACCGTGATTATTTTATTATGTTGAAATTATTTTGCGAAATATTATAATTATAATATTAACTGCTTAACATGTAAAAATAAATAATAAAATATTGTAATTGATTTTAATAATTTTTTAGGCTTTAAATAAAGAAATATATATTTTTTAGTTATAAATGTAATTTTATATTTTAAAATTTTAATGGAAAAAAAATTCATGACATTTAATATTTAATAACATAATTTGTAGAAATGAAATAAATTTTTTTAGATATATTTAATAATTTAGTTTGTAAAAATATGAAATATGATAAAAGTTGAACAAAAATAATTAGATAAATTATGTTATTACATTTTTATTGAAAATAATATTAAAATAAAAAATTAGTTAAAGTAATATATTTGTTTAGATTATGTTAGAATTGAATATAAAAGTTAATTATAATTAAAGTTAAATTTAAATTTCTTTAGATTTATATTTGTATATTATTTCAGATTATAAATAATTAAATATGTTTAAAGTTAATTATGTTTGTAATTAAGTATATTTAAAGTTAATTTTAGCAAAAGTATGAATTTTTCGCTCTGATAATGGAGGAGAATATGTCAATAAAGAATTTCATCATTACTTTCAAACTCATGGAATTATTCATGAAATTACATGCCCTTAGACACACAATAAAATGGTGTCTCCAAAAGAAAAAAATTGACATATTCTTGGGCTAATCACTATACAAGAGTAGAGCAAGCATGTGAGGTTGAGCCTGGGGAGATGAAACTTAGTGCTTCAATTTGATGCTCTTGGGATCTTGCTCTGATAGTGTATCAATGGAGCTAGAGGACATTTTGCATTTTCTCTAGTTTGGCTTGAATTAGAATTGTTTTATGATATTATATGATTTTGAGGTTTTGTAAAAGGTTGATTTATGTCTTGATTTATGAACACATATTATGTTTATTCCCTTTTTTGTTATAAAGTTTTTATTAAAGACATGTGAAACCTTTTACAATACGTGTTAATGAAGTTGTTTTATATTATATTTTTAATTGAACATATTTTCCTTAATAATTTTGATAATAAACATGTTCGGGGTAGAAGGATGTCACAAAAAGTCTTATTAGTGATCTTTTTCCTCAAGATAAAACTATCTTTTTTTGTGATAGTCTAATTGCAATTTGTTTGTCCAAGGATCAAGTGTATCATGATAGGACAAATACATTGATGTCTAGTACCATTTCATTCGCATTGAGAAGATAATTGAAGTGTAGAAGATTGATACGAAGGAGAACCCAACAGACATGTTCACGAAGTGATGACATCATGCCTATGGCCTAAGTCTAAAAGGAATCAAGAAGAGTGAGATAGATTTGAAGGAAGAAGGCTCAGGCTCTTATTAAGCTTTGGATCACTTTTAGTAGTCTACTTTCTTATTTGTATATATTTTTCCTTGTAAATATTTTTTTAATTTTGACCTTGCACTTTTGAGTTAAATAGTATAGGAATTTATTTCCTTGTAATTTTTATTTTTAAGGGGTGTAAATAATATTTTAGGGGTTGTAACTAGAAAAAGAAATATGTGTTTATTGGGCTTGAATGGTCCAAGAGAGCATGAATGGACATGTGGTCCATCATGGTGGACATCCACTTAGTGGACAAATAGGTCTCTTGATTATTCAAACTCCAACAAGTCACATGTATCGCATCTAGTTACATTTTTTGCACTTTGCCATGTGACAAGCCTCCATTAGTTTTTCTAGGTCTAGAATGTTGACATGAGTCACACTTCTTGCACCTTGTAATGTAGCATGTGTCTATTGGCTCTTCTAGATCTAGGATAGTGACATTTTTAGGAATACAAATTCTAAATTATAACTAAAGTTAGTATTCTTAAGTACAAGTTAACCTAATTTATGTTACATGTAACCATGGTTAGCTTAACTTGCACTACAAACTACCAAATTCTATAAATAGATCCTTTCTACACTTGGACGAACACTTTTGAGTATTGAATTAAATTGATTTCAAATTTCTCTCTCAAAAGATCTTAGTTCTTTCTTAGAAGTATCTCTTTATGAACTTTTATTAAGGATTTTATCCTTATGACAAGTTATTCGCTTTTTTCTTATCTTCATCTTGAAGTGGTGCACCATTCTCTTTGTCTTCCACCATTTTCAAGTTTGCTTCCAAGTTATGAGTTCCATGGGTGAAGATTTGAGCATCAATGGAGTTAGTTGAAGAGAAACACCAAGCCTTTCCTCCACAAGTTTCATCACATGCCTGTTCCAAAAAGCAAGTTCTGCATTGCTTGGACTTACTTAATGTTATTTCATGGAAATAACATTGTAAAGAAAAAAGATTTATGTCAAGGTGGAGAATGTTGTGCATGAGATTTTAATCCTTGCTTATTTTGTTTTTAGTTTTTAGTTAGTTAGTTAGCCCATTATGACCTTATATGTATGGGATGTCTAGTATCTAATAGGGGTAGACACAATTAGTGTAATTTATGAAACACCCCAAGTTTTCTAAATAAATTAATAAAAGAGTTTTAATTAATTAAGAGAGTTTTGAAAATAATTAAGTTATTTTATTTAATTAATGTGTTTTGACTAATTATTTAATTTAGTGCATTTTGAAAAATATCTATTTTATATAGTGGATTATTTAACTAATTTTATTTTTTTTTTAAAAAATAAGGGAAGGGACAATTTTATAAATTAAGGTTTTGAGTGTAGACAGTTTACACTTCTTATTTTCATGCTTAAGCTTTAACCTTTATGCTATAAAAAAATTGAAGAACTTCCAAGAGATTTGGAAAGCGACCATTTCGGAGGCTTGCAATTTTCTACAATTACTCATCAAGGTAAGGGGGAGTGAGAGTTTTCTCTCTAGGGTGTGGGGTATTTATTGGATAGTGGAATTGATCCTCAATCTTATTATTTGCAATTGAGTATTGCATGTCGTATGATTTGTATGTGATCAGTGTTTAATCTTTGACTTATATATGTTATGAATTATGAATTATTTGGGTTAATTGTGAATTTATGAGATCCTACTGTTCTTGTAAGAAACCCTAGGATGGAGATTGATAAAATTGTGAGATTTTTGTGAAATTGATGTATGTGTTTGATTAATTGATAATATAAAAATGTAGTTTAGGCATTAACCAAGTTTTAATTGATTAGATTGGGAAAAGTGAGTTTGAGTGTGAGTTGTGCTGTATTTTGAAAGTTCTAGTGTGAACATATATTTTTATTTATATTATTTCTCTATGTCATTAACCAAATAAAGTTTTTTTTTCTTGAGTTGGAAATTAGACATTCGGGGATATAGTTTAGACCCAAGAATTATATAAAAATGTTAAGATTAAATTAGACGCAACTTTAAACCCTAAACCTTAAACTTTAAAATACATTTTAATTAAAATAAATTTCATTTAAAATTATACATGTGCTCATGCAAACATTGAATACTAACATTGTATTGGTTTGAGTAGAGTAGACTTGGATTCCTATGTAAAGCTTGTGTATTATGAATTAAAATGTGGTTGAAAATGAGATTATGATAAAGATAAATAATTAAGTTTTGATAACAAAGATTATTTACACTCCATTATATTAATAAAATAAATAAATAAATACAAACTAAGTCTTTCCTCACAAGAATGATAAAGTGGTTCGAGTGATTTGAAAGAAAAGACATAGGATTGAAGTGATAAAAGAATATGTGAGTTCAAATCCCTCCACTAACATAATAATTAATCATTAAGATTAAAACTAATAAATAAATTTTCATCTTCGGTAAAAGGGTTCACATAAAAACCATCACAAATTTTCTTCAATATCCAAAATGATTGAAAATAAAACTTAGAAAGTAAAACTTAAGAGTTTACAAATTATTTTCAAAATAATAGATACAACTCCAAATCTATATAAAAAAATCCATGTCCTAGAAATCCTCTGCCCTGATGTCACAATATCAGAGCATACCCATAATTCAACTGTTGGCATTCTAGATGTCACTCATAGTCAGATCTTCCTCACCTAAAACATCCACAAATTGTACGGTGAGAAAAGAAAACATCTATATGTAAAGCACATAAGAAAAACACAACATAATCCCATCTTTACTCATTACTTAATGAAATATTCACAAGCATTTATATATATCATAATTTATCAATTATGCATCATCTTCACGTCATAACTCGCAATTGTAACGACCCGCCATGGTCTCTACACTTAGTGGAATCGCACTACTGCTAGTGAACTAAGAGAAATATTAAGCTGGATAACTCATACACACATGTACAAATAAAAGTAAATTAACTGTAAAATTTTTTTTTATAAAATAAAACTCCATATATGTACAGTCATCCCAAAAATAATATTCCCTAGTGCCGGTCAAGCACAGACAAAACCGTTACCCAAAATAGTAACTCCAACACGAGGATCAAAACTCTCCCCATCTCGCAGCGGACAGGGAAATCTTGAGTTAATCTTCGCTTAGTTGGTTAACTCGGATGGAACAAGGATTAAGTGGTTAATAGAGTAATGTTTGAGAACCAGGGATAAAAGAGTTACAATCCGAACAAGGAGCCAATCCATTTTTACTTGCTATTTTATTTCGTTTTATTGTGTTACGAACTGAAAACCTGAAAGCAAACCCCCCTACTGTGTGTTTAAGCCTTTAACAGTAAACGAAGGTCCTTGGGAGACGACCTAGGAGTCACTTCCTAGTACTACATTTAATTGTATTTATTTGACCGGATACGGCTCCGATCAACGATCATAAGTCTAAAATTAGACGAAGATGTGTCAAAGAGAAACCTCCAGTACGATATAAGGAATTAGATGAACCATGAGTCAAAGATCAAAAGAAAGTCAAAGCATTAAACTTAGATGCTCAGACGGAGGACAAGATTGAGATGCATGGGACCAATAGACGTAGACGAAGACTGCCACACAACCAATTAAAGAATCAAGTCTTAAAACATAAATCAAGGCAGCGTCAACAATCACTCAAATGGTCTCAACGTAAAAGACGTGATTAAAGAGAAGAGAAAAAGAACAAGAAAAGCACGTAAAAGCAAACGCATGCATGTGTTAGAAAAAGTACATAACTTTTTAGGTAAGGACAACACTCTACAACTATGTGACCAGAAAAGGACAAAAAGGTTTCTAGGTCTCTGCTAAATTCAGACACTGCTACTAACAAGCTAAAGAAGACTTCACGTAAGGTCTATCACAGGAAGCTACATTTATTGCAAGAACTCAAGCATTAAATGAGTAGATTGAACTAGTCATAAACGACTTTATCTGCTTCAAAGGACACTTGCAACGGGCAGATTCTACAAGACAATATATATATCACTATCTCAAACCTTGGAAGGTTGGCTTCCATGTTTGCAATTTTAACAAAGTGATATCAAGCCCATGAAACAACGAAACTAGAGATAGAGCATATAGAGTCAAATGTACAATAGTGTATTCATCTCTGTAAACTAAGGAGTTCTAAACATGTGCATTTTAGAAACAAAACCTTAGTGAGTGTACCAATTTATGTATCCTCTCTATGAGAGTAAACCAAACACTCAATTGTTGTAAAGACTAAGGTTACATACCTTAGTGAGTGTAGAAACCTATGTATCCTTTCTATGAGAGTAACCCATACACTCAAACCGAACCTGTCCAGTAAATATTTGTAAAGCCTAAAGAGGGCAGGGAAAGAATACTTGTAAATCTTTGAGATGCTTGTCAAAGAATACTCACTAGGAGCCAGAAGTGGCTGATCAAAGAATATTACTATTGATGAGTGAAGTCAACGGGCCAGGAGTTGGTCGAGAATACTCACTAAGAGCCATAAGTGGCTGAGTAAAGAACAAAAAAACATTATAAGGGACCAAAAGAGGTATTTAACCTTAAGATTTTGTTCATAAAATAAAATTAAAAAGTCTTTCCTCACAAAATAAAATAAACTGGATACAAGATACATGGATCAACAAAAGTTAACAGTGGCTCATGGAAGAGTAACAAGTCCTTTAGTGAACAACATGGAGAAAATATCCATCTTACTCTTGGGTAAAGCCAAGCCTATCTCAATTCCACCCACAACATCTCTGCTTTGTAAAAGTGAAACAGCTCCTGTATAATCAATTGATATCTCCTCTATTTTCTTGGGCCTCCCCCACCCAAAATCTAATTCATAAAGCTTCAGTTTTGGAGACCAGGTAGCATGCACATGTTGCTCTGACCCATGCAACACCTCCCAATCCGAAATCCATTTCTCTGCTCCAGCAAAAATTGATGCATCAAGCTTCTTAATTGTACTTCCAATTGATTTAGCTGCAATAACAATCCCATCTTCTCCAAGTAACTCTTTTCTTCTCACCGATGCCCTACCAAAGCCAACACAATTACCCAAATATGTGATTGGAACTGGATAGTCCAATCTAGTTATGCCACCAGCAATGAACCCAAAGTACGAATGGTCTTCATGGTTATTCACTTTCTCATTCACACATTGTTGAGTTTTGACCAAACAAACCCATATAAATGCACAAGTTAACACATAAGCAGATAAATGAACAGGCTGAGGCTGATTCTTTTCTTTGCAACAATTAATAATGTAGCGCTTAATTTTGTCCATTTTAGTGGTACTCATTAAGAAAGTGGCTCTAACCATACCTGAGAGATCTACTAATTTGGGTTCTCTACCAATGGCAATGTCCTGCACTAGTCTTCTTTTTCTCCATTCTTTCAGGAAAACCTCTTCAAGGCCCTTTGCATCAATAATCACACTTGGATCACGCAATGGAAGTGATTCTGGTGGAAAAAATGCTGAAGCTGATCCAAAGCTGCAGCAATACGAGGCCCATGTCTTGAAGAAATTGTGGAAGGTCCTCCCATCAGCAACAACATGGTGAAAAGCAAAGCCAATGCAAACACCAGCATTTGGGAACAAAGTTACTTGAATAGCTAGTAAAGGAAAAAAATGTTCTTTACCTTGATGTGGAAAGCTTGATGCCAATTTGGGCAAAAGTAAGTGGAAATCTTTGGCATCTCTAGGGTGATTGTTACAAAAGTGCTTAAAGTCTCCATTTGACTCAGTGATTGTGAATGCAACTGACATGTGATCAGTGCAAATGAGATGGGGTTTGGTGAGATCAGAAGAGGGGGTGAATGTGGCAGCAAAAGGGTAGTAATGTTGAAGTGTGAGAGAGAGAGATTGCTTTAGTTTAGGGAGTACTGTGGCTGTGAAGTGAGAGGTTGAGTGAGGGAATTCATAGAAAAACAAGGGTTGGCTTGGAGAGAAGAAAAGCCAAGGAATGTCAAAGAAGGTTAGGGGAAGCAAAGAGGAAAGTGGAGCTGTGGTGGGAGGGGGAGTGATGCTGCATTGCTCTAGAACCTTCATTGTGAAAGGTGTGATGGACATGGTTTCCTCCTACCGTTAAACTAACAATGAACTGAATGATGACTTCACCACATGTTATAGGTTCAGGCTGGCGTGGGGCAGCTTGACATATCTCCCACATTTGAAAACAAATAACAACCGTTGGAATTTCATGGTATCTGAAGATAATGAACTTGAGCCTACTCTATGACAAAAAGTCACATCCACAATAAATATATAAATCATACCTAGCTTATTCAGCACACTCGTAAACCTATTCTTTTGTTCGGTGTTTGAACCAAAAAAGCAAAAATTATCTCAAGTTCATATGTATTAAATAAGATACTGTTTTATATTTTAATAATAAATATAATCAATAAATATTTAATTAAATTTAGATCTAATATAATTAAATAATTAATTTCGAAACACTACAAATTTGGTCTTTGTAACAAATAAAATAATTAAATATAAGTTTAATGTATTTTTTGTTCTTATAAATTAACTGGGTTTTGATTTTGATTATTTTTTCATCTTTTAAATTTGTAACATTGTTTTTCTTCATGTAAAACAAATAAACTTTGATTTTGATCTTTGTAAAATATTTTTTTATTAATTATTATCCCTCTAAAATTTACAATTAATTTTTTATTTCTAGTGACCATTTTAAAATGTATATATAACATTTATTTTAAGAATTTATATAAAAAATCAGAAATGTAGCATGGAAGACCACATAATCTTATAATAAATACATAAGTAGGTAAAGAAATGTCCCACAATAGTATAACTAAAATCATAGTTTCAAAATTTAAAGGATAATTTTTTTTTATAAAAATTAAAATTAAAATATATTTATTTTGCGATAACTAAAAGTATATTTAAATCTTAAATATACTCTTATATATTTAACATGATTTTTTGTTCTTGCGCAAGAATTTTTAGGGACTTTTATTTAACTAGAACATTTTTAGATTTTTTTTAACTTAGTATCTAATTAAATATTTATTTATAAATAAATACTAATATTTTTAAAATTAATTATCAATAATTATAAATAATTTTTTGTTACAAGACAAATTATTTAACATAACTCTAAAATATAATTTATATGTTTAAAAATATTTTTACATACTAATTTTAAATATTATATATATATATATATTCAAACATACTTTATATACATAATTTAGTATAAAATATAATTATATTATATATATAATAAACATGTATGTGTATTATATAAATTAAAATATTAATTAAAAATTATTTTATATTATAATATAAATCATTTAGCATAAATTTAAAAATTCTTTTAACTTATTTATTTTTTTACACTCTATTTTTAGGTAATTGAGATCTCTAATAACTAAGAAAATAAAACATGCAACGAGGCCCTAATAAAAAAATGAGTTAAAATTAATATTTTGTCGCTTCTGAACTGTACTCTTATACCAAGATGAATTGCCAATATTATATGAAACAGTACAATTCCATCTCATTCCTGTCACGTAAATGTATATCGAACAATAATATGGATAAAGTTTAGACATGTATATCGAACAATAATATGGATAATATGTGTGATAGTACATGATTGATATATCTTTTAATATATTATATTAGGTTCATTTGAGATTTTTAAGTATTTTAAATTAATGAATTGGTCGGGATTTGTTTTTAGTAAGTTATTTTGATTTTAATTTTAAATTTTAGTTAATATTTATAATTTCTGTCTGTTTTGATATACTGTCTTATATATATGTCATACCTTGAGCTCCCAAACTTGAAATTAAGCGTTTTTTGTATTTTTAGAAAGTTAAGGCAGAACTCTACAACTTCTTTATTGAGAGTTTCAATTGATTCTATGACACCCTTGTATTCTAGCAAACAATTTTTCAAAATAAAAATGTTTTAATAAATATTAATTTAAACTTTGTTGTTTTAGTAAAAGGGTTCACAACATCTTCATGAAATAAAACTCTTAAATTTTAGAAAATAATTAAAGTCTTGAAATAAAGCAAGTAAGGCACAACTATCCAGTTTCATAGAACTTTAACATGAACAAAATCATAAAATTAATAAACTCTACTAAACTAAAATCACATAGCTCTTTAACCCTAATGTCACACTATTAGAGCAAAATCCTAGAATAAGTAATGAAGTCTCGAGCTTCACCTCCATCAAACTCATCTTCTAGTACCTAATCTAAGCTTGCAAATGGTGATTAACCTAAACACACATAGGGAGTGAGAATACGTCTCATCCATGTACATTATATATGATGCATAACAACAACACTAAGCAAACATACATAATAATTAAGCTTCATACATGCACTCGTATTCATCAATCATCAAAGGCAATACTCATCTCAATTACTTCTAATTTCTTTGCATTCATTTTGACAATCCAATCAGTTACAACATATATATATATATATATATATATATAT